AAAAAAAAAAAAGCATTAACTTGCCAGTATGCCTTCAACCTCGACGAATGGGTTGTCAAAATGGTTGTTGGAGTATAGTTTTGGCCAGTTTAATTATCAGAACTTTAAACTTATTAATCAAAGTTGTGTACTATAAAAACTTAAAAATAAAAGATCGTGTAATATGACACTCATAATTAATTTATCAAAAAAAAAAAAATTTATGAGCATAAATTACAGTTGTAACTACCTCCTAAGATGCCCCGACTTATAGGCTAGGTTTTCCCCAAGTTGGAAACAATTAAGGCCTCAAGATCATTAGATGATTCGACCAAGTTTGAATTAGGGCTTAATCTGTAGATCTTGGAGGTTCTAGTTTTTTAAACTTGGGCAAAGCCAATCTCAAGTTCTAGAGCATAGTGTGCAAATCTCGGAGGTTTATTTTGATGAATAAAAAAAATTATTATATTAAGGAGTATAAGGATACTCCATCCATAATTTCAAGGAAACATTACAAAAAAAAACATTTATGAGAGAATTCTAAAATTTGAAAGTAGGACTGAAACTTGTACAACTAATCTAAGTCTTAGTAATTTCTTAAACACATAAATTAGGGAGTTACATCAATAGAAAAAAGAAAACACAATGTTAGCAGATTTCTTTTTATCCATGCAAAAGTCCTCCTTTGAATTAAATTAAAAATTCTGTCCTCATCCAATTATTGTGAATTATAGATAATAGAGTTCTTGAATCATGTAACCACTAAAAAAATCAAGAACCAAACATCAGGTTTAACCAGTTTTTTGACCCCTGGACTGTGAGCTTCACAAAGGAGAGAAACTAAATTGGGGAGGGAGAAAAATCTTGGAGGTTTTAGTTTTTCAAACTTTGGCAAAGCCCATCCTCAAATTCCAGAGCATCTCAATGGGTAGCTAAAGTTGTTTCCAACATCATTGAGCGATGAAACTCAGCTGATTTAAGTTCTCTTATTTTACTGAACGTGTATCTTAATCATTTAGAGACCAATCACTTCTGGAAATGAAGCCAAAAGGCCGGATCTAGCAAGGGTATCTCGGAGGGTCTAGGGGTTAACCAAGAGAACTCCAAGTGGGTGCAATGCTTCTCCTAAGTAAGAGATTACCACGCTTCAAAAAAATTGAGCGCTTAAGAAACAGTTTTCAACTTCGGCAGAATGGTAAAGAAGTTGGAAACTCTACGCAAGTTGGGAATGGGGACGATCAGTAGATCTTGAGGGTGTAGGTTTTTCCAACTTAGGTAAAGCCCAACCCATATGTCAGAGCTTCTTAGGAGGTAGTTACAGCTAATCCTCGTATCATTGCGAGATGGGTTACTCCATATTTTGGCATTACTCTCCCTAACTGCCAGAATTGTCTTCGATAACCTAAATGGTTGTTTTAGTCCATCAACTAAAGTGGTTTAACAGTTATTTAGGGCAAATACTTCTAATTATGAGAACTTTTTTCTTATGAGCATAGATTAACAAAAGGAATACATCAATTTCTTGGAAAAAAAAATG